GGCATCCATGCCAGGATCCGGCCAATCTGGCTCGACTCCAGACTTCGGACTGAGAGTGCTTTTGCATGCTGTCCGTGTCTTCTTCTCTTTCCCCCCCTCTCTCGTGGCGCTGGCGGGGACAGACAATGCCCTTCGGTGATGCTGTTCGCTGCAATCTTCGAGGTTGAGTGGCTTCAGTCGTGCCTCCTTCCACGCGCCGCTTAGTCACGGAACATGGTCCCTTTGCAAGGGCATCGCGCCTGCCTCACGTCTCTATGCGCCTTCCTCGCCGCCGCCCTGCTCCTGCCCTTACTTGCGGCCGCCGACTATGTGCAGACAAACATCACCGAGACGCCCAACTTCAAGTTGCTTCCCGGCATCGCCTCAGTGCCAGCACCCGTCGCGGTCGCGCCGGACCAAACCTGGATCGGAATTGATGGCGCATGGAACACCTTCACCTTGGCCATAGGCGAGCCTCAGGAGTACGTGCAGGTCTATGTGTCGACTGCAAGTCAGCAAATATGGGCCATCAATCGCATGGCCTGTATCTCAAATATTACGGACCCCACGACTGGAGAGATCACAGCGTTCAACGTCTTCGACTCAGAGTGCGAGCTTAGTCGCGGTTTCTTGTTCAACAGCAGCAACTCGGAAACATGGGAGCAAAAAGGCTTTTACCAACTGTGGATTGAGAAGTACCTTGGACTAGTCGGTAATGGACTGTACGGTTTCGATTCGGTGGGTCTAGGGAGGGCCGGGGAGATGGGGCCCTCTGTCCAGAATACAACAATCGGCACCTTGGTCACGGCCAACTTCTGGCTCGGGCATATAGGCGTGCATTCCAAGTCAACCAACTTCTCCGTCTTCGACGACCCAGTCCCGAGCTACATAACTACTCTGTTCGAACAAAAGAGCATTCCCAGTCTATCTTTTGGCTACACTGCCGGCGCACAGTACCGTAAGACAGTCCCACATGCTTCCTGTATATCACTGACTCGTGTGTATAGGCGACCAAACCGTCCTCGGAAGTCTCACGCTGGGTGGCTACGATGCCTCCCGCCTTATTCCCAACGACCTTACTTTCATCTTCGCACCGGACAATGAGCGCGACCTGGTGGTTGGCATAGTTGGCATCACAGCGAACACCACGTCGGAAGAAGACATCGATCTCATGAAAACTGACGACGTCACCATGTACATTGATTCTACGATTGCAGAACTCTACCTGCCAGTTGAAATCTGCCAAGCTTTCGAAGACGCATTCGGATTGCAGTACGACGAAGCGACTGATCTCTACCTTGTGGACGATAAGCTTCACCAGAGTCTCCTCGCGCAGAACCCCAGTGTGACGTTCACTCTTGGTCAAAAATTCAGTACCGATGCCACTCTACAGATCACCTTGCCTTATGCTGCCCTAGACTTGGAGGCAACCCCTCCCTACAGAGGACTAAAAGAGAAGACAAGGTACTTTCCAATCAGGCGAGGTGGTGAGTCGCGCCAGTGGATACTAGGCAGAACCTTTCTACAGGAAGCCTACCTGACTGTAGATTGGGAACGTCAGAACTTTACAGTGTCAGCTGTCGACTGGACATTTGGCAAGGCACCAGAAATCCTTCCCATCGTGTCGCCTACCTATGCAGTAGCGCATTCCACTCCCCCGAAAAAGAAGCCTCTATCGTCTACGGCAGTCATTGGGATTGCCGTGGGAGGTGGCTTCTTCGTTGCTTTACTGTTGTGCGCAATTGGATGGTGGTTTTGGCATCGGCGACACAAACGCAAATTGGAAGCCATCAAGGCGAAATACGAGGCCGAGGCCGCTGCGGCTGCAGTCACCAAGATGGATCCACCCGTTTTGGAGGAAACTCCGACCTCTCCAGTACGAAGTAGTACCGAGGGTGTGATTGTCTTTCCGAAGGCTGAGCTGCCTGGTACATCTCATGTACATCACGAGATGAGCTCCAGTGCGCAAGAGAAGGGTTTATTGCCGGTGCATGAGGCAGATGGCAAGGAGCGTGAGATTTACGAGATGCCTGGCGACATGCCTGTGCTTGCAGAAGCAGGCGGCCGTCAACTGTCGGAGAAGGAGTCTATGGTGGTACGTGAGAGGATATACAACGGCGTAGATCCGGCTGGTATGCCAGATGCACCCCCCGTTACACATGACGAGTCACGAAGGCTTGCACCGATATCTCCCTCAGAAGTGGCGATTGTGGGCGGTCAACTACCGACTGGCAACGTGTCGCCCGTCACACCACGATTACCCCGAGACGGTGCGTCCTTGGAACCTTCGGACACATTTTTCCAGCTGCCGCCCTATCGTGCTCGCGATGGAAGACGCACCGAATCGGATGACGATCCCCTCTCCCCCGTCTCGCCTCTGGAAGGGTCTACGGATATGTCCCGACGGCGGTTCTCGTACGAGTCATGAAACCCAAAAAGCTGATTGTTTAGCGACGTTACGACTGGCGTTTACTTTGTTTGGCATAACTGGCGGGGATCTCTTGGCTTAGCGACACGCGGCACCGTTGCTTACTGCGGATATGGCGTTTGAGAGACGATAGTTTTGATTTTGTACATGCCAGAGGCTGAATACCCATCTAGACGGAGGCACGTGGTAGACACGAGTCGAGCCACGTTTTGTTAGTGTCTATGCTGTATATACCCTCTTTCCACGTACATAGCAGCAGTCCATGCGGCGGAAATGCACAACAAGCTGCTCGCAGCGCTAGGCTCATGCGTTCATCTCGATTGACATGCACCGCGCTGAGGCACCGGTCTGGCCGTCGGCTGGCTAAACGGTCATAAACCTGCAACGGGCAATTGTCCTGATTGTAGGGCAGAGCCAGGGGCGCGGGCGAAGCGGTCTGAGGAAGGTGGCTATACCAGCGCCTTGCCGCCTTGGGCCAAGTTGAACCCCTCGTATGCGCTGCGACTGGATACCAACCCCACCATTGCCCTCACGGAGGCCGCGACGAGGCACAGGACGACCGCTTTTCTGCATCGTCACTTTGTCAATCGCTTTCCTATTGCTTCATACTTCCCGGTGAAGACTCTGCGCCTTCTTTGACCGTCCCACCGCCCACCCGGTTTCGACAGCCGCCGCCCCGCTTTGTGTTGAAGCAGCTCCTGTCAGTCATCACATTGGCCGCGCGCCTAGCCTTATATCATATCTTCCGTCTGCCGCCTGCGCCTTCTCTCTGCTGCTCGACTCCTGCGACCGCCCCGATCGTTACTTCCTTCTTTGAAAGAAACTAGAAAGAGCTTGCTTTGGTTACCCCTCGCTCTTACCCCGCCGCATCTGCTATCATGGGCGACCTCGCCAACCGCAAGGTGTTCAAGGTAGCGTGGCATCCGCCTCTCAGACCCGAGCATGCGTACTTACAGGCTGCAGGTGTTCAATCAAGAGTTCATCGTCGACGAGCGCTACAATGTGACCAAGGAGCTAGGACAGGGTGCTTATGGCATCGTTTGGTACGACCCGAGCAACTGCGCGACGCATGCGGATACTGACCGTGCCTTCCAGTGCGGCTACCAACAACCAGACGGGCGAAGGCGTAGCCATCAAGAAGGTCACCAACGTCTTCAGCAAGAAGATCCTAGCAAAGCGTGCCCTGCGCGAGATCAAGCTGCTGCAACACTTCAGAGGCAAGTCTAGATTGCCCCCGTCGGCTCTGCCACAACTAACATCCGCCAGGCCACCGCAACGTAAGAAACCCCTGGTCCGAGAAGCAGACCGTCCGACACGATGCTAAATCCCGTCGCACAGATAACATGTCTCTACGACATGGACATTCCCCGCCCGGACAACTTCAACGAGTGCTACCTCTATGAAGGTATAGATTCTCCTCTTGGCATCTGACAAGGAGATGCTGACACGGTGCAGAGCTCATGGAGTGCGACCTGGCAGCCATCATCCGCTCTGGCCAGCCACTTACCGACGCCCATTTCCAGTCCTTCATCTATCAAATTCTGTGCGGTCTGAAGTATATCCATTCAGCAAACGTCCTCCATCGCGACCTCAAACCCGGTAACCTACTCGTCAACGCCGACTGCGAGCTCAAGATTTGTGACTTTGGTCTCGCAAGAGGTTTCTCCATGGATCCCGAGGAGAATGCAGGTTACATGACTGAATATGTCGCTACGCGATGGTACAGAGCTCCCGAGATCATGTTGAGCTTCCAGAGCTACACGAAAGCCAGTGAGTAGTTACCATTTTGTTCCACTCGTGCACGTCAGAGTTCCATGGCTTTGCCGTGTAGACTCTGGCGACCCCACAGACCCAGGGTCTGCATAACCACCAGCGGACCCAACTTAGCCGCCCCGGCGTTTGAATACATAGCTGACTTCGGCTAGTCGACGTATGGTCAGTAGGCTGTATTCTTGCTGAGCTTCTCGGAGGCAAGCCCTTCTTCAAAGGCCGGGATTACGTCGACCAACTGAACCAGATCCTGCACTATCTCGGAACACCAAACGAAGAAACACTCTCACGTATCGGCTCGCCTCGTGCCCAGGACTACGTTCGCAATCTACCATACATGCAAAAGATTTCGTTCCAGTCACTATTTAGGAACGCCAATCCGGACGCGCTCGACTTGCTCGACCGCATGCTCGCTTTTGACCCATCGAGCCGTATCTCAGTCGAAGAAGCCCTGGAGCACAGGTATCTACAAATCTGGCACGACGCCTCCGACGAGCCTTCCTGCCCAACAACGTTTGATTTCCAGTTTGAGGTCGTCGAGGAGATTCCAGAGATGAAGAAGATGATTTTGGACGAAGTCAGCCGCTTCCGCCAGATGGTCCGCGTACAACCCGGTGCAGGCGCTGGGGCGAACCAGGCGCCTCAAGTCCCAATACCCAACAACTACGACCGCGCCGGCTACGAAGACCCTAGGCCACAAGAAGCCTTCAACCAGGGTGGATGGAACGGCAGCGACTTGGAGCGTGACCTTCAAGGCCTTGACGGTCGCATGCGATGATTGCATCCAGATGATGTTGTTGGATACAAGAAACTTCTCATTGTTCAGAGCGTGAAGGATTTGGGTAATATTTGAGCCCCGTGTAATTTCTCTCGAAAATCTATTCATTTATATGTACCCCAGAGTGTCTTCGCAATATATGAACTTGGCGAGTGGTGTTGTAATCGTCTACGGTGCCTCACGGTATGAAGCTCCTGTCGTTGTCCCATGGAAAATCTGCTCGAGTTGTGCAAGTCGCCATCCACTCTCAATGGTCAGACACTAGGTACGTACAGCATCCAGTATATCCGCCTCCAAACACTCCAACAAGCCTGGTGCCTCGCCTTTGTATCCCCAAGCCTTCCCCGCTCTCTCTGCCCTCGTGCGCGAATTACTTGCAAAAAGATATCTGGCCAGTCTGGGAAATCCAGGGATATTCGCCATTGCGTCCAATCTCTCTAAACTAATCTGCACGGGTGTCGCATCATCGATCACACCATGTCTGTGCAGAACCTCTCCTGTCGCTTTCGCAACATCAATTTGAGAATGCTCCTGTGTACTAGCGAAGTAGTATCCATTCTCGTTGAAGAAGTCTTTTGAATTGGATGCCGCGGCTTCCACGACTTGGAGATACAGACGCATCAAATCGTCGATGTGCACCCAACTCCTCGTATTTGCACCTTGGTCGAGGTAAACTACTTTACCACCCATGTTCTTCACTTCTTTGATGAAAAATGGGATGAAAGCACTTTGGGTCTTTGCTAGCCCCTTGCCTCTACCGTAGATATCCGGTGGGCACATGATTGCTATGTTGATTTTGTCGCCGTGCTCTGCAACTGTATGATGGAGAATGGTCTCTGTATTGCGGTGGAGTGCGTTTGGGGGCAGTTGACGGATTTCAGGCAGAGAAGCAATGTCCGACCATATCTTTGGGTTCAACTTCCCTAGATACTCTTCGTCGGCCCAGTCAGATACAATTCCTGTTCCGGAGAGGTGAAGGAGGTAGCCCGGGATTGGACGGTGGAGAAGACCCGTGATGATAGCGTTTAGACTGGGCTCATGGTCTGAATCGCCATTGTGGATAACAATGTCAGCGTTCTCCGCTGCTGATGTGATGAGGTCGGCGCTCGAGTAGTCACCTGTGATGACGTCGATGTTGGGATAGGTGGATTTGAAGTTTTCAGGAGTTTTGCGTAACAGAACAGTGATGTGGTATTCAGGGTGGGCGGTTGCAATAGTATGTAGGACGGAACCACCGATGTAGCCTGTGCCTCCTGTACTGCGTGCGAGTTAGTGGTCTGTCTTGGAAGCTGCGAGCATGTGAACATACAGGAAAACTTTGGGTGTCATGATCAAAGGTCAACTAGTCAAGAACACGATACCACAAAGTTGTTCAAAGTATTGATGTAGTAAAGATGCTTGAGGCGGCTTTAGAGATAATCTATCAGCAAGGCCCAACTCATGAACAAGGAATCATGCGACTCCACTTGATTGGTAATTCAACTTGGCATCACTTCCCTCTTGGTCTGATAGTGCCTGGAATGACGTTCTAGCGCCCTTACAAATGGATCGTTCTGACGGGCATGGAAAGACTGTTAGACAGTCTCGATCTGAGGACATGATGGGAATACGAATCACAGAATTTCCGTGCGCAGACACCTAGCAATGAGTGTAAAGACCGAAGCGTATAGGATGAGCTAAAGTGAACCTCAGCATGCTCAGGCGTATACGATTCCCGAAATCAGCATCAGTGGTGAGTCGCGTGAGTGCATGTATTATTTGTGACATTTGCATCGAGCTACACCACGAAGTTCGGGAGCCACAGCGTGGGTGCACAAAATACTGTGGTTTCTGCTAAGGTGGTTTCCGTCCCGTTGTTCATGTTCGTAGTGACCGCTCGACACTGCGGCGATGAGTGAAGCCGCCGACAGGGATTGTCGCGCTAGAGAACTAGCGCGACAATTATTTCCCCGTTTTCGAACTTTTGGCATGCGCTCCAAATCGAACTTTTCGTGTCACTGCACTGCATAGCACTCCCAAGACGCTCAATACACCATGTCGCCCGCCGCGATCGAGTCAGGCAATAAGAGGAAGAGGTCTCACAAGAGCAAAAAGAGCGCCGAAGCAGAGGCTGTCCCAGCGCATAATGGCGTAGACTCCACCAAGGCGCGCAAGAAGGCGCGCAAGGAAAAGGAAGTCGTTGTAGCCGAGCCTGTGGTTGAGGATGTTTCCGAGGAGGTAGAGAGCGATGAGGAAGAAGACGAGAAGGTAGCAGAGGAGGTTGCCGCCGAGGCCAGTCCCGCGAACGACGACGACGAGGATAGCGACAAGGAAGACGATGAAGGCAACGACGACAAGCTCCCCGAGCTTCCTTCTGGCACGGGCAGCAATGCCCTTGACCTTCCATCAGGCACTACCATGCCTTCGGCGAACCCAACACGATTCGATGAGCTCAACCTGAGCGAGCGAACCATGTCTTCAATCAAGAACATGGGCTTCGAGAACATGACAGAGATCCAGCAGAAGGCTATACCACCCCTGCTGTCTGGAAGGGATGTGCTTGGAGCGGCCAAGACTGGCAGTGGAAAGACATTGGCTTTCCTTATCCCGGCCATCGAAATGCTTTCGCAATTGCGTTTCAAGCCGCGCAACGGAACTGGTGTCATTGTTGTGTCACCTACAAGAGAACTTGCATTGCAGATCTTCGGTGTAGCTCGCGAGCTCATGGAATCACACAGCCAGACGTTTGGTATCTGTATCGGTGGCGCGAACCGAAACGCAGAAGCTGAGAAGATCAGGAAGGGCTTGAACCTGATCATCGCTACTCCAGGGCGTCTTCTCGATCACCTACACAACACACAAGGCTTCGTTTTCAAGAACCTGAGGTCGCTCATCATCGACGAAGCGGACAGAATTCTCGAGGTCGGTTTCGAGGATGAGATGAGGTCGATTATCAAGATCCTGCCCACGGAGCGTCAGACCATGCTGTTCTCGGCAACACAGACCACCAAGGTTGAGGATCTCGCAAGGATCTCGCTCAAGCCAGGACCTCTGTACATCAACGTCGATCATCGAGCCGAACATAGCACGGTCCAGGGACTGGAGCAGGGTTACGTTCTGTGCGATTCAGACACCAGATTCAGGCTCCTCTTCTCCTTCCTCAAGAAGCACCAGAAGAAGAAGGTCATTGTCTTTTTGTCTTCGTGCGCATCAGTCGACTTCTACAGCGAACTGCTCAACTACATTGACTTGCCAGTGCTTGGACTGCACGGCAAGCTTAAGCAACAGGCCCGTACGAACCGCTTCTTCGAATTTGTCAACGCACAAAGTGGCACACTCATCTGTACCGATGTTGCTGCGCGAGGATTGGACATTCCTGAGGTAGATTGGGTCATCCAATTCGACCCGCCTGATGATCCCCGAGGTAAGTTTTGATCATGCGCGATGGATACGAAACATATACTGACACATGTGCAGACTACATCCACAGAGTCGGTCGAACAGCTCGAGGTGCCAACGGCAAAGGCAGGAGTTTGATGTTCCTCCTGCCCTCTGAGGTGGGATTCCTCAAGCTCCTTAAGGAAAACCGAGTGCCCCTTGTAGAGTTCGAGCTGCCTTCCAACAAGATCCTCAACATACAGTCACAACTGGAAGCCTTGATCAACAAGAACTACTACCTGAACAAGAGTGCGAAGGACGGTTACCGGTCCTACCTCCAGTCGTACGCGTCACACAGCTTGCGTTCAGTGTTCGATGTGCATAAGCTGGATCTTGTCAAGGTAGCCAAGTCGTTCGGCTTCTCAGCACCACCGCGTATCGACATCAGTCTTGGAGCGAGTCTGAGCCGCGATAAGAAGGTAGAGGGACGAAGAGCATACGGGAGCCAGCCTCAGCAGCAACGACGACCGATGAGGGGAGGCAAGAGGTTCTGAGACGGTGCTTGAACGGCATTGATCGGAGTTTGGCGTACAAAATCACATACGGACAATGATCTAGGGTTTATAGCTTTATCTGCATGATCTAATCGAGTACCCAGAAGGACGTGAGTAACTTTTGGAATGTGGAATTTGCCAATGTGATGTAGCGTGGCACAGAAAGCTGTGATCAGATGCGCCCATGACACGGTCTCTCTACTCGGCAGCTTCATGAAACTTAGTGGGTGCAAAATATGGTTAGCAAAATGAATGTCTCTGAGAAAATTGGCAGTTCAACGCCACCAAACCGGTGAGCGCTAGTGGGATTTGGGCAGCAACCACTGAGACAGCAGAAGAGCAATATCACCAGGTCGGGCCAACTGCCAGTTCATCAAGTCTGCATCCTTCGGAATATGGTTCTCTAGCATATCTGACTTCTGACATATTACTTGATGGACATGCAAGCGCAGCCCAGCCCTACGAGTTTTTGAAAAAGCTATGCGGCAGATTGTATGGGGGATGCGCTGGCAAGTCGCTCTAGCGAAATGACCAATGACGTCGAGCAGACAAGCAAGCGGATGCGTCCGCCCACCGGGGGAATCGGCACAATCACCCCTGGTAACGACACGGGTGCTAGAAGCTAGCTAGCGGTCGTAGTATCGAGACGGCCTACATGACGGTGTTGACATGTGGCGGTGAGACAGACGTGTGAAGTGACAGGCTGTCTAGGGATGGGAGTGAAGATAAAAAAACCCAGAGTGTGCATAACCTGATTTCAGCAAAAGTGCATGCCGGCGCGGGACGACGGGAGGGGTAAGAATAGAATGGAATAAGCGGCGTGATTGCTTTTGCTGCTACCAGCCATCTTGTTGCTGCGCTCAGCCGGGTGGAGGGACGGTAGAGGCTGGCATTCGTCGGGCAGTCGTCTAGGAGGGCAGAGTTTGGTTCGAAACACGCGCCTGCTCGACGGAACATGCATGGCCAACGGCGTCCACGAGGGACTTCAGGCACGCTGTATGGCCTTGACGCGGGAAGGTGGCTGGGCTGTGGACAAGTCATGATGTATCGTCGGTAGCCCAAAGATACGACGCGACCTGTCGCACGTCTACTGACTGGGCTTGCTCGCTCTCTCTTGTACCATTTTCTACGTAATCAGCTGTTATTTCCCGACTATTGTCTAATATACCCTTTGCGGCTCTAATAATCCAACGCAAATCCCGCGAGCGATCTGCCAGGCCAACAAGCCTCACCTCGGCCGTGTTAGCGCCGACAAGGATTGCTGTTCTTCTAGGCTTGGACCCAGCCCGGCTTTCTCTCCACCACAGCTGGAGTTGGTTCCCACGACCGCCTCTCCACCAGCTCGACGGAGCTTGTAGAGCCCATTGCTACCCCCGAGAGACGGCTGTGAGCTGTCTGCGCGGCCTGGTCTGGTGAGTCCCGTGACGCGTGCCCTGCCACGCCCGAGCAGCTGCTAACACTGGCTGGCCAGCTTCGCTACGACCGTCGGCGCCCAGCTCGCCATTGTCGCAGAGCGTCGCACGCACTGCACATGCACCAGGTGGCCTCAGGTCCTGGTTCACGCCGCCGATAACGCAGTTCGCTCCCGCGCATCGTCCGCGCCCACACCCACGATCGCTGTTCGCGCTCGCACCCAACACCAGCAACATCCAGGTTCGCGCACACGGGGACTAGCCACCGTGCGGCCCTGCACCCACACCTCAAACAACAACACTTCCCTCTTATAACGTCCTCGAGGAAAACGGCGCCGGGCATGTCTTCCGTCACCCACCCCGCCTTCTAGAATCTTTCGGATTCTATGATGGTTTTAGATACAGACAGACCTCCTCTTCCGGCACCTACTGAACCCTCGACTCTCGATTCCGCAGACGAAAACAACTACACCGACGACGTCGACACAAACGTCTCCAACCGCACCGACAGGACCTCCTACTCGGTCCCCGAAGACGGCACCCCCATTACTATCAACACCACCTCGCCCACCAAGCCCCGTGGCAGCCGCGTCCTGCACAAGAAGTTCCCCTCGCAGACTTCGCTGCTCATTGAGTACTTCGAAGCAGGCGAAACCGAAGGCCAAGTCCGCTCGCGCCCCAGTGTGCGCGTACGGGTCACGCCTTCCTCCCGCAAGAGCAGGAACAGCACCGTCAGTGATCACGTCCAGATCACCCAGACCCAGACCCATCGCCATTCCCACGCCGCCTCGTACTCGCGGCGCATCTCCCTCCACAGCAAGTCGTACGACCAGCTCTACAGCTCGCGCCGTAACACCGTCGATTACTCCGACCTCTCCAACATCTCCTCTCTTCCCCCCGTCGACATCGAGCTACTGCCCGATCACAGCGACGACGACTCTAGCGACGGCGGACGCTATATTCCCATGCCCTCGGACATATCGTCCATGCCCGCAGACAGCATGACTGGCCAAACAGAAATCCTCCCGCCCGCGCGGCGCAGGAGCCGAAGCCTCGAAAGGGACGCAGTCACTGAGTCCATGGTCTCAGAGGCCATTCAGGAC